TTTTAAATATTTTAAAAATTAATCACAATATTTTTAATTTCATGACCGTATTTGTATTACAATATTAATTTCTAATCAGCTTTCAAAGTTTTACCCTTAAACATTATCACTTTCAACCGGAGGGAGGCAAAGCCAGCCAGAGAGGCCAAACCAATGTATTAATTGGAGACAATACTCCCTTCCCTCTCTCTCCCCCTAATATCTTATAATAGAACATCCTTTGTCCATTGAGTAAAATATTGAAATGTCCTGTTAGAATAGAAACAGTGAGTGTGGAAGTGATATATTCCCAAGGACAGTGAAATCGTAGGGCCTTCTTATCACCTAGCAGTATCCTGTGGTTCTTTACTGAGTGTTCCTATCCCTGATTTAGGGATAATGACTTGTTGCACAACAATTTGAAGCTGGTGCTAACAGGTAGGGAGGAAAGTACTGAATGAGATGCATGTTATTATCTATCCTTGAATGGCCAAAAGCTAAGGAGATGGAAGCGATGTGGAAAGAGCAGTTGCTATGTAGAGCTAGACTAAGGTTTCTCAAACTGGGCACCATTGCCAGATAATTTTTTGTTGTGAGGGGCTGTCTCATGCATGTAGGATGTTAAACAACATCTCTCATGAGATGCTTCCCACCCCCACACTTTGTGACAACCCAAAATGTTTAATGTCTACAGGCATTGCCAAATGAAGACCCACTGTGGCAGACCCTCGTAGCTGTTGCCTTGTGATATTAATTCCTGTGTTTGTTGCAGACACCACCTTCTTGTCTGCACTTGTCTGTTTTAAATAGGATCTCTCTCACTGCTGGCCAGCGGGAAGCTTGGTAGGCTTGTGCCAGTCAGCTGACGACTGCTGCTGACTTCAAAATGTTCTCCAGGATTGGAGGAACTGAGTGTGCCACACTCCCCAGTTTCAGTATCTGAGTTGTCTTCATTAGACTTTTGTGGCTTCTGTTGAGTTGATCGTGCACTTTGGGAAAACTTGTTTTTTTAGTATTTCTAAGTTAGAAAGTTTACTTTAGGGGCTGGGCACGGTGGCTCACGCCTATAATCCTAGTACCTTGGGAGGCCGAGGCTGGTAGATTGCCTGTGCTCACATGTTCGAGACCAGCCTGAGCCAGAGCAAAATCCTGTCTCTGAAAAACAGGTGGGTGTTGTGATAGGCACCTGTAGTCCCAGCTGCTTGGGAGGCTGAGGGAAGAGAATCGCTTGAGCCCAAGAGTTTGAGGTTGTTGTGAACTATCCTGCTACCACACTCTACCGAGGGCAACAGAGTGAGACTCTGTCTCCAAAAGACACACAAAAAAGTTGACTTTAGGCAGAAGCTAAGTTTAGCTATTTCTGTTACCAGAAGCAATTAAAAACAAAAAGTAAACTTTTCTGTTTGGCTCAACCAGCAAAATGGTAAGATCACTGTGCAAACTTGTTGATGCTTTGAAGTGAATACTCTTTCTATATACCAAGGGCCAATGAGGACAATGCCTAGAATGCAGTAGTGGCCAGTAAGTACCAAATGACTTTTTCATTTTCCATTTTGGCTGTAGGTATGGCAGAACGGCTGTTGAAGCACACAATCTTTTGAGGATTATTAGTAAGACATAAACAACTTTGATTTTTCAGAATAAATATGTGAAATGTACCCAAATAAGATGCAAACACAAATTAGAAAACAGGTATTAATGTTTAAGGGATAAATCGTCAGTGGAAAATATTCTATAAGCACCTATTACTTACAGCCTGATTCACTCTGTGTTGGAACAAACTCAACTCTACGGATATTAATATCTGCCCCTTCCACTTAACTGAGAAGGGAGCTTGGTTCCTGGAGGTGTTGAAATAGCTTTCTTTTTTTTTTTTTTTTTGAAATGGAGTCTCACTCTGTTGCCCAGGTTCTAGAGTGCTGTGGCATTAGCCTAGCTCACAGCAACCACAAACTCTTGGGTTTGGGAGTAACTAGACTACAGGCTCCCACCAAAATGCCTGGCTAATTTTTCTATTTTTAGTAGAGATGGGGGTCTTGTTCTTGCTCAGGCTGGTCTTGAAGGATCCTTCTGTCTCAGCCTCCTTAAAGTGCTGGGATTACGAGTGTGAGCCACGATGCCCAGCTCAAATAGTCTTTTAAACAAGAAATAAAATTCTCAAGCCTATTTTTCTCCCCGTCTTGTAGAATATATATATATATATATTTTTTTTTTGTTTGTGATTTATTGGTGTTTCTTTTTTTTGTTAGGAAAAAAACTGAGGCATTTTTATTTTGGGAAGCCCCCCTCCAGTCAGCTCTCAGTGTGTAAAGGGGAGTTGCAAAGAACTTCCTTGTCCCACCAAATCCTGAGGGCAACCCCGTTTGACAGTTCCACAGTCATTATCAGGAAATTAGCTGACTCCCTTTTCCTTTTCTCACAATCAAGCTTTAGTGCCTGTTTGTATACTTCAGAAAGATCTCTATTGTCAAGTACTTGTTTTTTGCCACTGCCACATGGGGGACAGCAAAGCTGGAGAGCAGGTGCTTCAGGACACTTGT